AGCATTCTGGGTAGCACAGTCTTCCAGCTCACCACCACTGAACATTCCAAATATGGCAGCTGAGCCTGTTTATTTCATCACAAGGGCCAACTGACATTCTGAGACTTTTCATAGCAACTTCACCCCGAACTCCTGCCCACAGTTTGAAAACTATAAGAGATATCTGAAAAATTATCAAACTGTGAGCGCCACGAAGGACGTAGGGCGTAGCCAGTGTTTTCATTTTTTGGCTGTCCCCAACAGTTTGGTTTTTACAGCAGTTTCAAAATGAGGTCCGTTTTGGCAGTTGACGAAATTTTCTCTTTTTTCTTCCATTGTATCTCAATGGGAGCCCGTTGAGACAGTCTGGACTCTGGGTCCGATTGCGGGAAAACCGTAGGGCTGAGGTCAAAGGCGCTTACATTGGCTTAAAGACAACACACGCAACTACGTTTTGAGGTCTTTCTGGTCCCACTCAGCCCTACGGTTTGGTCGTGAGAGGCAGGAGTTTGCCTTTTTCTTTTTCCATATCCCCATAGGAAAGTTACAGCCTGTGATGATGTCACCGGAGTGGAGGGCAGAGTTTGGGATTTTTCGGATTATTGCTAAAACGTCAACAGGGATTACGGCCAAACGGTGTGAGATCAGGCCTCCTACCTCCAATATGTCGGAGGTCCATCTTTCGTGACCCGTTTAATGTTCGAATTAGCTTTTTTTTTATGTTGTGGGGAAAAGCGATTAGGCCCACATTTTTGGCTCGTTTTTCGGCCTTCCCATTCATTTCCTATGGGATGGTGTTTTTCATTTTTTACCTTTTATTCCAAAACGCAGGGACCAGTGAGAGAGAAAAATACAAGCATGTGTCCTGTGGGTGGTTTGGACGTGCGTGTCTTTTTTGGGCCCGATCCAACTGTGCGTGACTAGTCAGCGACTGAAATGTCCCAGAAAAGGGCTAGAACAGGGCCTTTGCGTCTGAATGTACTGACACTACAGCTGAGTTAACTTTAACTAAGTAAGGGGAATGTAAACTCCACAGGACACACCATGCCTCTTGAGAAACCTCCTGGGTCAGTGCTCCTCTGTCCTCCCCACTAAGCTCCTCATAAGGAAGCGTGTGACGGGAAAGGGATCAGGGCTCTCCAAATCTGATCATTAATGACTCCTTTCCATCATTAGGGGGGCCACTGCCAGGGGCAGGCCCCCCTATTACTCTTCGCCATATTTATTCTGCGGCATATTAGGGGGGCCACTACCAGCGGCAGGCCCCCCTATTACTCTTCACCATATTTATTAGGGGGGCCACTGCCAGCGGCAGGCCGACCTATTACTATCCGAAATGTTTATTCTGCGACTTATTAGGGGGGGCACTACCAGCGGCAAGGCCCACCTATTACTATCCAAAATACTTATTCCGCGACTTATTAGGGGGGGCACTGCCAGCGGCAGTCCCCCCTATTACTCTTCGCCATATTTATTAGGGGGGCCCACCTATTACTATCCGAAATATTTATTCTGCGACTTATTAGAGGGGTCACTACCAGCAGCAGGCCCCACTATTACTATCCAAAATAGTTATTAGGGCGGCCACTGCCAGCGGCAAGGCCTACCTATTACTATCCAAAATACTTATTCCGCGACTTATTAGGGGGGCAACTACCAGCGGCAGACCCCCCTATTATTCTTCGCCATATTAGGGGGGCCACTATCAGCGGCAGCCCCCCCCCACTACATTCCAAAATACTTATCAGGGGGGCCACTGCCAGGGGCAAGACCCACCTATTACTATCCAAAATACTTATTCCGCGGCTTATTAGGGGGGCCAATCCCAGCGGCAGGCCCCCCTATTACTCTTCACCATATTTATTCTGCGGCATATTAGGGGGGCCACTACCAGCGGCAGGCCCCCCTATTACTCTCCGCCATATTAGGGGGGCCACTGCCAGTGGCAGGCCCCCCCTATTACTATCCAAAATACTTATCAGGGGGGCCACTGCCAGGGGCAAGGCCCACCTATTACTATCTAAAATACTTATTCTGCGGCATATTAGGGGGGCCATTACTAGCGGCAGGCCCCC